CACGCCCCGAGTCGCGCGGAGTGCGAGGTCCCGTCCAATGCTGCTTGCAGCTTTAATTCCAATTGTTCTTCAAGTTAATGTAAATGAAACTCAACACTTCCTGCACAGATCATGTTAAAAACCCTCCAGCTGCTCAATCAAAATTATCTCTTTCCTGGTTGCCATGAGATTTAGAACATTTATATAGCAGCAAACTAATATTATCTATGTAAAGACATAGTGGAGTCATATGTCACACTCCCTCTGCCTGTGTTGCTATCATACCCGGTCTGCTCCGTGACTGAAACTGATGTTTTATCATCTACGTTGTTGAATTAACATAATTATTGTAACCAATCCAGAATTTGTGATTGTTGGAACAGTGGAAGAACTAACAAAGACAGTTTTAGTTTTTTTATTTAGTTTCTGTCAATTTGTAATGAAGTTACGACGTTATGATGATATACAACAAAAATTTGTGTTTTTGTCTATGGAGTCTGGTGAGCAATAGTGATCTTACGGCTTTTTGTCCCTGAAAATTAAGGTAAGCTTACATTGTGGCCATTGAGTGAGAGTGGTGACAATGACTATAATAGACTTAGCCTATATTACCCTATAGCCCTATATTAATTTCAAATTACACTACTGTATACATTTTTTTTTATCCTGTGCAATTACATTTATTCATACATTGGCCATTGGTCCTGCCGTGACCTGTGCAATATTCCATCCATCACATCAGTATATAAAAAGCTGTGTATAGTGTACATTTCTATAACTCTTTATAACCCATAATCTTATTTTTCTATTTATATGATATCTGTACTTTTTTTATTCTGTTTCTCTCTATATCTACTTTGTGAGCCATTATAAACTACTACCCTGTGTATATTTTGGGGACTTTCTGTGTTCAAGTTTGCCACAATGTAAATACTGCTAGTATGTGAGACATGGCCATTTGAATACAGGCTTACATTTATTGTAGTATTGATATGCTTATACCTGAACAGGGTTGACAAATTTGCCCTCGATTCTCAGTAACCCTGTGCTCCTGCAAGGCTCCTCTGTGGTGAGGAAGGTAAACTCAGTATCTTCATCAACGGGAACTTTCTCCAGGGTGAATTGTATAGTTGTGTCTTTCAATATGTGGAAGGCTGATGAAAAAAAAATATATGTGCATTTGTGCCTCAAGCTGCATATAAAATGTATTTGCAAGTACATAAAATCTAGCATTTGGAATATAACTATCCTTAGAATTTGTAACATTCTCACCTTTACCGCGGCTGAGGGATTCAAAGAAGTCATGACGTGTGAACTGTGGTTCATCCTGGTCGATGCTCCCATTGTGGGATGGTGACATGCTGCTGGCAAAATTCCCTCTAGGTACCCTCTTCAAAACCAAATGACTCATGTTGAGTGAATACAGTCGAATATCCTTCACTAACACCTGCAATCTTTCAGCTTCGGAGTCTTGCCCAGTAACAAAATTTTGGATTGTTATGCTTCCCAGATGACCAACCAAAAGCTCAGGGTGTCCAGGTTTACGGGGAATGGACACAACTGGTGAGTCAATGCTGATATTAAGGGTCAGCTTTACCAAGAACGTGTCTAGGGTGGATTCGGGTTCTTCCATGGGGAGATCATCCTCATCCTCAAATGGATAAGCCCAGCTCTGACTCTGAGTTCGAGTTCTTCGTGAGGGTGTTTCAAAGAGTGAAACCATACCACTGTACTCTGCTGTCTTGGTTGCTAGAACTGTTGACACTTTGGTAGCAGCACTTTTCAGCATGGAGCGGAAATTGTCTTCTACCTCATTGGCAGACAGACTCAGCTCCTTCAGGAACTTAGCTGAGTGGTTGTAGTGCAAGGATGCCATTTGAAGTAGTAAGGAACACTCCCCTTGGGTTTTCTCCATAAGGCGAAAATTTAAAGCCTCAGAGGGAGAACCTCCTGTGTCAGCAAGGAATGTTAATCCAAGAGTTGAGGAGCTATCTTCAACACTGCCAATACTGACCACAAACTGGATTCGGCCTCCTTCCTGGGTCAGGTCAGCCAACTGCATGGAGCCAAGTGAACCATTGATGTCCAACCGACTGCCCATAGACACATTGACCTTGGTTCCAGTGACGCTAGCAGTTGCAATCTTCAACCCTTTCTTCTCAGCACCCAGGACAGTCCCAGTGGACACGGTCCGAAGAAGAAGCAGGTTAAGGCGATGGATCTCCACAGTCAGCTCTTTGTTCTGGTCATAGGTGGCCTGATATGCCCCCCCCCCCTCCTCACTGTAAGGCTGTTTTGTATGTTGTTGCGTTGATGATGTCCAGGTGCTTTCCTCTTTGGGGAAAGACTTCTGGAGAAACTTGAGCAACTCTACCATGGTCTCAGGGTTGAGAATGATGTCCAAGTTATTGACCTGCATGCTTGTAACCTGAAGGGAGCTGTCCAGGTTCATTGAGGGGCAGTCTGAGCTCACAAACTGGTACTCAAGCTTAATCAGGGCCTCCTGGTCTTTCAGAAAGGAACTGAAGGGGGAAAGTTGATCCATGGGCCTACCAGAGGACGACTCAGTATGATGGCCCTGATGCGGGGGAGACTTGCCATCAGACGACACAGGGGACGAAGGCTGGCTCTCTCGGAGGCTTCCCGTGGGTATGTCAAAACTGAGATGCTTATGAGAAGCCACAAGGAGGTCAAAGTCTGAGCCATAGGTTTGTAGGGTGTCCACCAGCAGTAGACCATGGACAGTCAGAGAGACTTCAGCATCATAAGGCCGCTTGACAAAATGAGCATTTGTGCCAAATACCTTGAGGACAGATATGTAACGGCCATCACTCTCTACACCAAGCTGCATGTAGTTAATGTTAAATTCAGCTAATAGTAGACGGGATTCCACCAGGACTTCCCTTGTGTGCTGTTCTAAAGTCATCACACTCTGGGTCAGGTTCTTGGCTGAACCTTGCAGCTTCCAGGAGCTGTCCTCCTTCTGAAAGATTTTGTCATGGCGGAGGGTAAGAGGGTCAGGAGACCTTATATTTGGGCCTCTCTCTTGGCTTTTGTCCCCTTTACTTACAGATGGACTACTTAGCCTAGCCAAACAACTCCTAAGGGCGGTCATCTTCTCAAGGTTGATATGGACCTTGAGGTCTGGTAGGGTTCCTGACAGCACAGCCCCAGGGAGCTGGGGGTCCGACGTGTAGCGCAATCTCTGCTCAAGCTGCAACAGTACATTAAACTTCTCCACCACATGAGTAGGCCCTACCTCACTCTCTTGAAGGTGTTTCCAGTTGTCCTTACAGCGACCAACCATTATCTGCAGGTCCTTAAAAGACAAGGAGTATTTTTCGTAGAGCTTTCTGCTGTAGGCCTGTGTGCTTTCTGGGGATCTGAGGCTGGGAAGTTCAGGGCTTTTGAACTGGTCTTTCAAAGGCATGTCTAGTTCAGGTGGAGGAGACTCTGGGGGCGTGGCCAGGGGTGTCTGGTATTCATCATCACTCATGTCTTCCCTTTCAGGTTGAGTAGCTTTTGAGCTGGCCTTAGTGTCATCTTCAAAGACAATTAATAACAAAAGGTGTCAGCTAGCAAGTTAGAAACCTCATTAGGCAAAATAATATTTGTGTGTATCTTTTTATTTTTTAGGTAAATGTTTGATTGATTACCTTGCGAGTTTGTAAGGAGAATTCTGCCTAAATCAACAACAACTAACATTGGGTCCCCTGACTGGAAGTCATCAGGGAAAATCACTTGGGGGGCACAGATGTCCAATTTCATGGTCCACCGCTTGCTGTTTTCCTACAAACCAAACACACAACCAACAGTTGAAAATGATTCAACTACCAATTATTTCATGTCACCATCCAGAGAATTTTTCTTACAATAAACTCTCCCACGAGTAGCTGATCAATGGTTTGTCGGATCTCTGCCTTGGTCTGCATCTTCAGCTTGTTGTACTGCCTTCTGGCTGCCTCTGCCACTCTCAGCTCCAGCTCTGACTGATAGCCAAAACCTGCATATCAGATATATCAGAAATATGTTTAAAATACAATCATACAATGTGCTGGTACGTATCAGAAAGTGAACTTTCTTAAGCTCCAGCCACCATTGGAAAGTCTCGCTGGGAATTGTCAACTGTAATTTTGTGGTTTGCTTGATCAGTTACCCTTATCTCCCCCTATCTGTTGCTCACTGATCCCTTACTTTTCTTATTTAATTTAATTAGTTTTTTTAAATGTGTTGTTTAATTTGACTTTTAACAGCACTGATAAGTTTAGGACAGCAAGGAAAAAAAAAAACTAACTTTGGTTACTTACCTGAGGTATGAACTCTTCCTTTATAAAAGAACTCAGTCACTTTTTTGATTGCTTGTGGGTTGTAGATGATGTTCAATGGACTGGTGTTCACTTCCAGTCTTCTCTCAAACTTACACCTCACAGGGTTACGTTCATAAATCATTTCAAACACTGGTGATGAAGAGCACTCAGCATTGCATCCTGACAACACAAAACAAAACAAACACGGTATTTTTCAAGAGACAAACATTTATTATAATATAGCCACCCAAATCTGATAATTCCCACATCCATACTGTACAGAGATGTCAAACTGGTATTCTGTTTAAAAATAAATAAATAAATAAATAAAAAAAAGTCAAAAGCTCTGTGAGTAGTCCCTGGAGGCTAGCATTGTCATTACATCACACAGCATGAACATGAACATCTGAACTATTTGTTGATTCAATCAATTCCTAATACAAACCACGTCAGTGAAATCATCATCCTTTTCTGAAATGCACACAGAGCAACAAAGGAAAACAGCATGGACAGCTCTAAACTTTTACAGACCTTGTGTCAAGCTTAAAGCTGCAGTAGGTAACTTTTACAAAAATAATTGTCATATTTGTAGTCTTATTTCTGGGGCGTCAAATACAGATGCTTTGAGGCCTGGAAACGAGACTCAACAATCAACTATCTCCATGCCTCCAACCCAAAGCATCTTTATATCTTTCTCGGCTCTGATTGGCTGTTTTCATTCAGGCCCAGTGGATTTTTTCAAATGCCATTAGGGCCACTAGAATGAGACAAAGGAATCAGATTGTTTTTTTTTTGTTTACAGATTATATGTCTCATGTACTACTTGTACTGTATGTTTTTACAAGACAGGCACTAAAACAAATCAAACAGGTAACACTGGAGGGTAATATAGGAGTTTAGCGGCTGCTCTGAAGAGGGCTTTGGACTGTAGTGCAACTATCTATAGATAAGAAAAATATAAAAATATAAATAAATACTGATACTGATAAATTACATAATGGCCTATATAAAACCAGATTAGTAAACTTCTGACAGCTTCAGCAATTAAAACTGAAAGTATCAGAGGGTCATAAGCTCGTAAAAAAAAATATTTAACATTGTTTAAATTGAGAAAATATTACATCAGCTCTAAAGAAGAACAGAAAACTCTCACCAGAGGTACTGCCAGACTGACTGGAGGGCTGGTTGATGGCAACAACAACTTTGTCCTACAACAAGTGACACATGAGAAGCATAATACAACAAACAGTAGAAGATAATAAAAAATATATATATATTGTACTTAGGGAGCTGCAATTCACTTTTTCAGACTTTTGTTTACATTACAAACCTGCTGCCCTTCTCTTTCCATCAACGCTTACCGTTTTGGGAGACACCAGAACAGGAAAGATGGTTCCCTGAGTAGTCAAGTCTCTCAGGAACAAACCACCCAGCTTAACAGACAGCAAAGAGGACTCAGAGCGAGGGAGGGACTCCAAAATCACTTTCACCCCTGTGGAAAAGTGGACACACTAAATTAAATCAAGTAATTTAGGTATATCTGTTTATAGGACTCAAGCTCCACTGCACATCTTCAAAGGAAAGGAAACAGCAGGTGACAAAATATATACAACTCTCAAGTGTTTTTTTTATATACAGATAAATCCAATATTATTGGCCGACATATCGATATCGTATTGGTATTGTATTGGGATCTGCGTTTATGTCACTTGATGCGCGCTGATATAAAAACAACTGATCTTTTATTTATTTAGAAAGCAGCTTTGGAGTAGCTTTGCAGAATCATATTGGTGCAAATTGGTCTATTTTCATTCCGACAAAAACAATCAGTATACCAGCCACCGTATCAGTGATCTAAGATCCCCTCTAAAATAGGTATTGGTTTAAAAAATCCCATATTGGTCGTTTTAGATTTTTACCTTTAAAATCTCTTGGGTTGCAACTGATGATTATTTTCTGTTCATTAGTGTGCCTGAGAAAGCACACTACTACTATTGCCCGTGCTTAATTAGTGTGCCTTAAAAGCACACAAATATTATTAGTGTGCATGCAAAGCACACTACTATTATCCACCATACTTATTAATGTGCCTGGAAAGCACACTACTATTATTCCCCGTGCTTATTATTAGTGTGCCTGGAAAGCACACTACTATTATCCACCATACTTATTAGTGTGTCTGGAAAGCACACTACTATTATTCCCCGTGCTTATTATTAGTGTGCCTGGAAAGCACACTACCATTATTCCTCATACTTATTAGTGTGCCTGCAAAGCACACTACTATTATTAGTGTGCCTGCAAAGCACACTACTATTATTCCTCATACTTAATAAACTTAAACTTAT